TGGGAATGATTCTTGCTGTAAAGATTTGTTCCCTCTTTTGAGCTACTGCTTCCATAGGTGTAGGTCAAGTTCATCAAATTGCATCAGATTACTCTTTTTATTCCTCTTCTTTCTTCTTCTGATCATCCAGTTGAGCTCTGATCATCCATCCAGTCATTGAAGCTAGGTCAAGTGGGTATTATCTGCAAGTGTGGGTGTTCTTGTGTATATGCCCTCTCTTTTTATCAGCTGAACTTTTCACTCTCCACATTGTTCAAGGGGAATACTTTTAAGAGAGATGAAATATTGATGATTTCAATTTACTTTCAATCTAACAATGTCTGAAGCAGGTTCTATCCAAGTTCCTTTGCCTCGTTTAGCTTGAATTGTCACATGCTACCCAAGAATCATAACTGATACAACTAAGCAGATATGACTGTTTAAAGAATATAGATCTAGAGATGGAAAAGGAGGGTTGGTAAGATGCTGGGGAGGACATGAACGCATTGCTGTATGGTTGTCGTTTGGAAGTTTGCTTCTGAGGTGATGGTGCTCAGTGTGATGGGGAATGTTGATGAAAGATGTCAGCCCCCAGACTTGTGGGGGAACTCGGGAAGCTCCATAATCTCCTGTCTAAACTTTCTTTCCTCAACCAATGCTTATTTAACTTGAGTGGCTCTATCTGGGGACACAGAATGATGAAAGTCTTGGAGTTCACAATGCAGTGGGGACAGCAACAGTTATTTGGATGTGGTTTTGAAGACTTTCTGGCTACAAATAGCAGCTTTAAAGCAGCTTTCTGGTAAAACTTGCTTTTGGGAAATTTGAAAAGAGCATGTCACTAGGGCAGTGAAAAATCCACTCGGTGTGGTTTTAGGGTTCAATGTTCAAATTGTATGATCGCTAAAGATTCAAAGAGGGAATTAGCTGGGAGTTAGGCTGCCTATAAATGTTATTCATGTAATTAGATGATGAAAAGAGAATTCTAAAAGCTTTCAACTCTATTTCCTTCATTTAGGATATACTTACTTAATTAGCCATGACCCTAAGGGAGCAGTTTGAGACACTGTTGAAAATATGGGGAATCAAAGGAAACAAGAAAATGTGAAACGGTTTGTAGTTAACCTAATACATGGACATGGGGATTCTAGTGAAAGACAGTCACAGCCTGTTGGGTCCCCTCACATTTCCTTGGGCCACTAATTTGATCTGCTATCTTAGCTTCAGAATGGGAAATTCAGTGCAATAACAGAAGAACATATGTTTAAAGCAGCCTGAATATGGTTGAATACCCAGCAGACAGCTGGGAAGATGAACCAATTTGTCCCTATTGAGTCACAGGTTTGATATGAAATCGTCAGCAGAGTCAGGCTGAAGAATGCAATTTAGAAAGTAGACTCACAGGATGTCATGGAGGAAATGATTTGCTCTGTTGCTTCTTTCTGAAGGAACCAAGATTCTTATTTGTTTAGTAAAGCAGATGCTGTGTATTAAATTCAGTAGTTTTATCATCTCATTTCCTGGGTGACCTAAGAGCACAGTGTGAATAAGCAGAACAGGATGCCATTTTTGAGCAAAGAATGATTTAGGGCATTGGAGAGGTGAGCAAGTAACATCTAGAACTATGTTCTTGAGGCCACACTCCTGATTAGCGGAGGAGGACGTCACCAAGTTTCTAAGTCAATGGACTTCTTTTGCTTAGTCTGAGAGAAATTTAATTTCCACTTTTGCCAGTATGTTAAGTCCACAGGAGGGGAAAGCCAGTAATTCTAGCACTACTGAGCTTCTTCTTGGGATCTGAGTAGGAACCTCCATTGTATTGTCTTTCTCCTGGCACCTTTCTCCTTTTCTATTTTGTTGAGCTCAGTGAAAGTGATGAAATTCAACTGTTTATTTTAAACTACAGAAATAATAACCTAATAGTTTAGCAAAACTCAATAAGGATGTGAGCTATACGGATGATGTATTGTTTGTGAGACCACACCAATGTGTAAAGCTAACTGCCATTGAATTGATGCTGACTCATGGTGACCCTATAGGTGTCAGAATTTTCAAGGGCGCTGATTTTTGGGAAATAGATAGCCAGACCTTTCTTCTGAGGCAGCACTGAGGGGACCCTACTGCTAGCCTTGTTACCTGTTTGTACTGTTTAGACTATACATTGCCTGCTGATTTAATTGCCTTTTGAGATCTTTTAAGTCTTTAAGTTGAATTTGTAGGTAAATCAGAACAAGTGCATGTGGTTCTTATTTAGCCTTAATTTAGTGCACTATGTGGAAGACTCAAATGCTTATTCTCTAGAAGAGACTAGACTTTATTACAAGATACCAGGGTCTTGGGGGCAAAATACTAGGAGTTAATATTCAAAGGCTACTGAGTTTCTGTTTAGGGTAATGAAAAACTTTTGGAAACAGATAGTAGTATTCATCATATATGCTTGTTGTTGTTAGGTGCCATCGAGTCGGTACTGACTCATAGCGACCTTATGCACAACAGAATGAAACACTGCCCGATTCTGGGCCAGTCTCACTCCTGTTGCCACGCTTGAGCCCATTGATGCTGCCACTTGGCCAATCTATCTCGCTGGGGGGACTTCCTCTCTTTCTCTGTCCCTCCACCTTACCAAACACGATATCCTTCTCCAGCGATTGCTCCCTCCTGACAATATGTCCCAAGTATGAGAGACGAAGTTTGGCCATCTTGGCCTCCAAGGAGCTCTCTGGCTGTACTTCTTCCAAAACGGATCTATTGGTTCTTTTGGCAGCACATGGCACTTTCAATATTCTCCTCCAACACCATAACTCAAAAGCATCAATTCTTCTATGGTCTTCCTTATTCACTGTTTAGCTTTTGCATGCATGTGATGTATTGAAAATACCATGACTTGGGTCAGGCGTACCTTAGTCCTCAAGCTGACATCTTTGCTCTTCAACACTTTAGCAGCAGATTTACCTAATGCAATACGTCATTGGATTTGAGTGTCGTTAGTTGATCCAAAAAGACTGAAGTCCTTGACAACTTCAATCCTTTCTCCATTGATAAGAATGTTGTTTATTGGTCCAGTGGTGAGGATTTTTGTTTTCTTTACATTGAGATGTAATCCATACTGAAGGCTGTGCTCTTTGATCTTCATCAGTAAATATTTTAAGTCTTCAGCAAGCAAGATTGTATCATCTGCATATCACAGGTTGTTAATAAGTCTTCCTCCAATCCTGACG